AGGCATCTTGTGTGGCCAGCCTACAGCTATTCACTGTAGGTTAGTACATTAAATAAATAGGACTTGTAGCTTCTTTGTAGCACTGTGTGTTAAAGTGTGACTGAACTCGGGAACAAAAATATATTGCAGATAATCAGTATGTTGATGTGGTAGCTTCATTAGATTTAATTTTTTGTGTAGAGTGTGTGCATTGCACATGGGTCCCAAGACTCAGGGGCCCACTATGCACTCACTGCTTAAAGCGATACTAAAGGTTCGTTTTTTTTTTTTTTGAAAATAACAAACATGTTTATACTCATCTGCTGTGTGTAGTGATTTTGCACAGATCAGCCTGGATCCTCCCGTCAGCGCTCCTGGCTCCACCTTTTTGTCGGGTGCCCCCATAGCAAGCAGCTTGCTATGGGGGCACCTGAGCAGGCGTGTTAACAAGCCACTGCTCTATATGTCCATTCACACATAAAGCTGTGGCTTGGCCCTGCCCCCTCAGTCTTCTCATTGGCTGACTGGCTGTGATTGGCTGACTGGCTGTAAGTGGCAGCCAATGGCTCCCACCTAATGTCTCAGCCAATGAGGAGGCAGAAACCTGGGATAGCCAAGGCTGTTGTGCACATTGCTGGATCTCGATGGGGCTCAGGTAAGGATTGAGGGGGCTGGGGGCACTGCTGCACACAGAAGGTTTTTTACCTTCATACATAGAATACATGAAGGTAAAAAACACTGAGCCTTTACATCCACTTTAATATAAGGATCATGGTTTACAAACTACCTGTTTGCAACAGATGTAGCAAAAAGATAAGGTGACCATGGCACCAAAAATAAGTAAATCCCTTTAATTTAAATATAAAAAAAATATTCATTAACATCTTGAGCACTGGAAGGTTTTATTGCCTTTATGACCAGAGCATTTTTTACCATTCAGCATTAAACTATTTTAACTGGCAATTGCTTGGTCATGCAACACTGTACCCAAATAGAATTTTTTTTATTTTTTTCACACAAATAAAGCTTTCTTTTGGAGGTATTTAATCACCACTGTTTTTTTTTTTTTTTTTTTGCATTATAACAAAAGGCGGCCAAACATCTTGGGAAGAAAAAGTCCCGCTATAATACTAGTAAAAAAAAAAAAAATCCCAGTATATATTCCGCCATTTGTAAACACTAGAACTTTCATGTAAACCAATTAACCTCCCTGGCGGTATGATTATTTCAGATTTTTGGTGCTTAAAGCGGTACCATTATTTTGCATGGAAATAGGTAGTTTTTTTATTGTAGGCTGTAATTTTTCGGAATAACTCACTGAAATCTGTCCGAACAAGAGTCTATTAAACATCCCGGGTATGATAAAATTTGAAACACAAAATCATAAATTATAATTTAATAAATAATCATAAAAAAAAATAATAATATAATAATAATAATAAATTTAATTCAATAATATAATCAAACCATGTCGGTGATTGCTGGTAATCACCAAGCGCCAGTGGGTAATCACCGGCCGGGACCCGGTGATTGACACCCGCGGCCGCAAATGGCATATATATACACGTGATTTTGCACTGAAATTTGAAATAGAGCTCCAAGTTCGCACATTGCTGAGCGAAGTTGCAAAATCGTTTTCAGCGTCTGATGACGAATTTCCCCTCAAATCATCACTCAATTCTGCAAATGGTTCTCATTTACTATCGCTGTTCTGCTTTTGACCTAAAGGGACACTTTTTGGACGCCATGGACTTTTCTCAGTTTCCAGGCAGAAAGAACAGAGAAAATGCAGGCAGGGCACAGGACAAAGCACTAGGGACAAAATGTATGTGAAATGGGTTGAAACAGCAATGTTTTACTATGTAAAATTTGTTTGGAAAAAAAATGACGTTTTTTTTAATTTTCAAATTTCCCGCGACGTCCCGACAGGGACCGGAACACACAGAAGCTGGATGCCGGCATCGGCCGGAGGAGATGGCCGGGGACGCTGCAGGGGACACATCGCGGGAGCGCAGGACAAGGTAAGCTCTGCAGGGAATCCCTATGCAGCGCCGCATGGTAAGCCTGAGTGTAGCAAAGACATGTAGCGGAATACATTTTGGCCTAAATTTATGACGACATTTGACTTTTAAAATTTTTAACTGGACATGTTTAATAGCAAAAAGCCCCCAAAAAAATTTTTTTCTCAAAATTTTTTTTATAGTGCAAAAAATAAGAAACACACAGGTGATCAAATACCACCAAAAGTAAGCTCAATTTTGGGGGAAAAAAAAGATGTAAATTTCATTTGGGTGCAGCATTGCATGACCGCGCAATTGTCAGTTAATGTAACGCAGCGCCGTGACGCAAAAAATGGCAAGTGGTTAAATAACAAACATGTTATATTTATCTGCTCTGTGCAATGGTTTTGCACAGAGCAGTCTCAATCCTCTTATTGGGTCCTCCGCCTGTGCTCCTGGCTCCTCCCCCCTGCTGAGTGCCCACATTGCAAGCCAAAGGCTCTCGCTGCTATCTTTGAGCCAACGAGGAGGGAGGGAGCCGAGAGAGCTGCTGCTCTTGTGCACATCGCTGGATCGAGATTGGACTCAGGTAAGTATAAGGGGAGCTGGGAGGGGGGCCGAGCATTGAAGCTTTTTTTACCTTAACGCAGAGAATACATTAAGGTGAAAAACCTTTTTTGCCTTTATAACCACTTTACATGACCTGGGGTTTATGACCTTTTGACCTGGGGTTTATGTGTGCCTGTAAAATTGTTACTTGTAGCACAATAATTGGCAGTATTTTTTGGGTATGAGAACTATGGCATATGAGTGCCAGTGTATACAACAACATGCTGTATAACCAACAAAACACATATAACACGGACAAAACCAGCATAAACATATGCAAAAAATGCACATAAAGTCATGCAATTGTATATGTATGTAAAAAAGTGTAAAGTTTAAATTTTGAATCAGTGTGTATATATATATATATATATATATATATATATACACACACACACACACATACATACATACAGTACATGCATCCAGCATATTTTTGGGGTCTCATCTCAATTAAATAAGTCACATTTAAATTCACTCCTGCTATATAAGATGCATACTTGTTCACACAAGATGGAGACAAGTTTGTAGACTGAAAAGGTGTATTGAACCTTGCACAACCTTACACACTAGTGTTTAGCAAACTGTTCACTTTCAGGGGCAAAATGACCATTTGAGCACTCAGGCACTGCCCGAGGGCCTGGGGTCAGTAGGGGGCCCCATGAAATGCCCCTGGTACCTTTTTATAGGCTTTTTTGGGTGTGCTTTGAGTGTGGGCAAGGACACAGGGGCCCCATGATCCCCTATTGCCTGGGGGCCCCATGAGTTTTCAGTCCGCCCCTGTTCACTTTACCCTTTGTCATGGTTCTCTGAGCATTGCCTGCAATGTCTGATCTCTGGCAGATGCTTCAGGTCTATTGACTTTCATTGCTCCTCCTTGGTGAGCTCTCTTGTTGGGAGAGTATGTGACAGCTTGGTAGAACACTGCTCAAGCAGTCATGCAGGTGCTCAGTGTTTCTTCTTCCTACAGCTGTGTGAAAAAGGGCCATCTTAAGGAAATTTAGGACACTTTTAACCACTTTCAGCCTGGGTTTACATATATGCGGTGCGGTATATTGTATTTGATTAGCACAGGAACCGCACTGCTTTCCTGTGCAAATCACATGCAACTTGTGTGCAGTGCGATTGGAGCCATACATTTTGTATGGCTCTAATCGCACCGCATCCGCACCAAAAACGTGCAGGACCCTTTTTTTGGTCCGCACTAGTATCGGATCTCATGGGTATTCACAACTATGCGATCCGATTCTGCACATTGCACCACATTTTGCGGAGCGCTTTTGGGGTGTTGTTAACATACACACCTGCAGCGGTTCACATGAACGGGGTGCGATTCTGATGCGGTGCGGAATTCGGACAGAAAATGCTGTGTATTCCGCACAGCATCAGTGTGAACCAGGGCTAAATTAACTTCACAAAATTTACCAAGCTAGTTCTAACCTAGTTGCCTAGCACTTACATCTGATTATTTAAGTTTCTGTTGCATCTTAAAATACCTTTCCATTCTATTTGAATATTTTTTGAATTGCTAAGCAAGTTAAACGTGATATATATACACTGCTCGAAAGAATTAAAGGAACACTTTGAAAACACATCAGATCTCAATGGATAAAAATATCATGCTGGATATCTATACTGATACGGACTGGGTAATGTGTTAATAAGGTAAGGATACCCCATCGTTTGATGGAAATGAAAGTTATCAACCTACAGAGGACTGAATTCAAAGACACCCCCGAAAATCAAAGTTAAAAAATGGTGCAGCAGGCTAGTCCACTTTGCTGAAAGCTAATTGCACCAATTCAGAATAGTACTCAGTAGTTTGGTCCCCACGTGCTTGTATACATGCCTGACAATGTCGGGACATGCTCCTAATGAGATGATGGCTGGTGTCCTGGGGAATTTCCTCCCAGATCTGGACCAGGGCATCACTGAGACAGTCTGAGGTGCAATCTGGCAGCGTCGGATGGACCGAAACATGATATCCCAGAGGGGTTCTACTGGATTTAGGTCAGGCGTGTGTGGAGGCCATTCAATGGTATCTATTGCTTCATCCTCCAGGAACTACCTGCATACTCTCACCACATGAGGCCGGGCATTGTCGTGCACCAGGAGGAACCCAGGACCCACTGCACCAGTGTAGGGTCTGACAATGGGTCCAAGGATTTCATCCTGATACCTAAAAACCATTCCTGCTTTTGGGGTTGTCTCATTTTTACCCATCTAGTGCACCTGCTGTTCATTTCATTAAAACCAAAGCAGCTGAAAGTGATTTACAACCCCCCCCCCTTGCTACTTAACTGACCAGATCAATATCCTAGGAATTTAATTGACTTGATGCTATACTTTGATTAAAAAGTGTTCCTATAATTTTTTTGAGCAGTGCTTATATTTTTATATATATACACACACACACACATATACACACACATTTTATTGCCAAAAGTATTAGGACACCCCTCCAAATCATTGGATTCCGGTGTTCCAATCACCTCCATGGTTACAGGTGTATAATATCAAGCGTATCACAGTAATAGGTGCAGCGCTAATAAATATATGGATATATTAATATATACTGTATAATACAATATCAGCAAGTGCAAAATGAATATCACTTAATGGTGATTATTAGTGACTGAACAGTTCAAAGTGATAAAATCGTGTGGATCCTGAGGGATCACAATTTCAGGCGATGCACATCGTGCGATGCACATAGTCATAGGGAGAAAGGGCTTACGAAACGCGTCAGAGTTGCTACAGCAACTGGACATCTGACCACCATAGGTGGCAATCTGGAACACATGGTCAGTACCTTTCTTTTTATCTTATTGATTGTACCCATTATTTGGAATAAAGGTACTTTATACAGTATCACGCTATGTGGTCTCTTATTGGGCTCTCCGTGTGAGTGCCTTCATTCGCAGTGCCCATACAACAAAAGATGATCCTAGAGGGTGATACATGCTAACGGACCAGGGAATCCTACACGCTGATGTACCTGGATGGTGATTTATGATGTGATCTGACCTGGAAACAGATGACCTTCTCATTGCTTGATGCAGGATTTCATATTGCGTATTTTAAAACGCACTTCTGGTGAGTGCGTATTTCATTCATTTGAGTCACATCACCTATCACTTCTGGACCAAGACATCCGTGCACCTGAAATTGTGATCCCTCAGGATCCACACAATTTTATCACTTTGAACTGTTCAGTCACTAATAATCACCATTAAGTGATATTCATTTTGCACTTGCTGATATTGTATTATACAGTATATATAATATGTCCATATATTTATTAGCGCTGCACCTATTACTGTGATACATATTATATTGGAGGTTTTTATGGTTACCTTTTTTGGTGTTCTAGCAGCTTGATTTCTATTCTCTATAGCTAAAGGTGGCGCTCGCTTAGCAGCTTTTTACTGTATAATATCAAGCACCTAGGCATGCAGACTGCTTCTACAAACATTTGTGAAAGAATGGGTCGCTCTCAGGAGCGCAGTGAATTCAAGTGGTACCGTGATAGGTTGCCACCTGTGTAATAAGTCTATCCGTGAAATTTCCTTGGTACTAAATATTCCACGGTCAACTGTTAGTGGTATTTTAACAAAGTGGAAGCAACTGGGAGCAACAGCAACTCAGCCACAAAGTGGTAGGCCACGTAAAATGACAGAGCAGGGTCAGCACATGCTGAAGCACACAATGCGCAGAATTCGCCAACTATCTGCAGAGTCAGTAGCTAAAGACCTCCAAACTTTGTGTGGCCTTCAGATTAGCACAACAACAGTGCGTAGAGAGCTTCATAGAATGGGTTTCCATGGCCGAGCAGCTGCATCCAAGCTTTACATCACTAAGTGCAATGAAAAGCTTCGGATGCAGTGGTGTAAAGCACGCCACCACTGGACACTAGAGCAGTGGAGATGTGTTCTCTGAAGTGACGAATCATGCTTCTCTGTCTGGCAATCTGATGGACGTGTCTAGGTTTGGTGGTTGCCAGGAGAACGGTACCTGCCTGACTGCATTGTGCCAAGTGTAAAGTTTGGTGAAGGGGGATTATGGTATGGGGTTGTTTTTCAGGGGTTGGGCTTGGTCCCTTAGTTCTAGTGAAGGGAACTCTTAAGGCATCAACATAACAAGACATTTTGGACAATTTCATGCTCCCAACTTTGTGGAAACAGTTTGGAGATGGCCCCTTCCTGTTCCAACATGGCTGCACACCAGTGCACAAAGCAAGGTCCATAAAAAAATGGATGACTGAGCTTGTGATGGAGGAACTTGACTGGCGTTTACAGAGTCCTGACCCGATAGAACACCTTTGGGATGAATTAGAGTGGAAGCCAAGCCTTCTCGTCTGACATCAGAGCCTGGCCTCACAAATGTGTTTCTGGAAGAATGGTCAAACATTCCCATAGACACACTCCTAAACCTTGTGGACAGCCTTCCTAGAAATGTTGAAGCTTTTATAGCTGCAAAGGGTGGGCCAGTTCAAAATTGAACCCTACGGACTAAGACTGGGATGCTATTAAAGTTCATATTCGTATAAAGGCAGGCATCTCAATACTTTTGGGACCCCACACATGGGACTTTTCGGCCAACTGCAACCAGTAATAGTAACTTAACTGATCAAAATGACATGTTTTACCTTGGGCAGCTTCCACAGAGGGTGAGACTTCACAGTTCTTTAATGAGTGCCCTGCAGATGGATATCATATACAGAACATACTTTTTAACTTTAAGAGTTACTTTATAATGATGATATCCTAGCTCTTACAGGGGATTCCCCTTTAATGATTTTAGAACAATATACTTTTGGATTCTTTAGGTTCTGGTGCACAGGCTTTTTCTTTAACCAGTCTAAGATTTATTTAACTGGTTTTCAACAGTGCTATAGCCAAAGGACGGCTACAGCATGGTTGTGTAATCCTGGGACAACATCCATGGACATCATTCCATAACATGCCCCCCCTGCGCGCCCCAGCGGCACGCACCAGGCACCGCCGATGATTGCTGTGTCCTACGGACACAGCTGATCACATGATATGGCAAATGTCCAATCACGGTGGCCTTTTACCACGTGATCAGCTGTGTCCAATGACACAGCAGATCACCGGGTAAATACAGTTGCCGGTTATCGGCACAGCGCAAGGAAAGTACTACCGAGAACTGGCAATTGTCAGGGAAGGGATCAGCACTGATCATCAGGGCACTGATGATCAGTGCCGCTCATCAGTGCCCAACAGTGCAGCATCATCAGTGCTGCCTATCATTGAAGCATCATCAGTGCCTCCTATCAATGCCCATCAGTGCTGCCTATCTGTGCCACCTCATCAGTGCCCATCAGTGCTGCCTGTCAGTGCCCATCAGTGCTGCCTATCAGTGCAGCTTCATCAACGCACATAATTTTTAAAACTTTTTTGCTCTATTTTTGTTTATAGCGCAAAAAATAAAACATCCAATGGCAAGTAAATACCACCAAAAGAAAGCTCTATTTGTGTAAAAAAAATTATAAAAAATGTTATATGGGTACAATGTTGCATGACCGCGCAATTGTTATTCAAAGTGGGACAGTGCTGAAAGCTGAAAATTGGCCTGGGCAGGAAGGGGGTATAAGTGCCAAGTAGGCAAGTGGTTAAAGAATCACTAACATTTTGTGATATTTAGCTATATTAATATTACTGAAGATATAAACAAAGGTATATGGGATAAAAATAAAAGACATTCATATAATAATTATTGTCATTACTTAAATTAACTGCATACAGGTAACAGTTATAAGTTTTTGTTGCTTCCCTTATAAGATGAATAAGCATGGTCTTTTTCCCACCTTCTCTTCCTTTTGACTACATATGCACCAATCCAAACCATGTTGTTATTTAGTTAATTGCTAATGCCTGAAGCCAAACAGATTTTTAGAAAGTCTAACCATTTTCATAAATCTATGGGCTCTTAAAGTGTTACTAAACCCAGGACCCTGCATTCACTATATCTGGTCTCCCACAGTACACAGAACATGGAAATTCAGTTATTTTAGTAAATATAACTGCTAAATACCTTTTCTCATCAGCAGTTAGAGCAGTCTTGTGACTTCTCTCAGTGTTCAGCAGAGCACTGGTTAAAGCTTGTAGGAGAAGTTTTCTCTAGGAGGATGCAGAACCTCTGACCTCTGTCTAGGCAGTGCTGATTGGCACTGCCCATGCACTCTCCCCAGAAAAAAAAACCTCTCCAGCAATACACAGCAAATTGAGCATGTGCAGTGTCTCCGCACGATGTCTTATCAGGAAATAAGAGGGGCGCTGGAAAAAGGGGAGGATCAGAGAAAACAGGATCAAACAGCATTTTTTACACAATGCAGAGGATTAACCCCTGAGGTTCCACAGTGAGTATAACAAGCATGCTTTACTGCATATACAGACTGATTTTATTGCCATGGGTTTAGTAACACTTTACATGGCTAAGATAGGAACATAGTTGAAGAACTGTGAAAAGTAATGAAGAAGGAGTTCATTACCAGAATGCCTTTAATGAAAGTAACATTATTTTATTAGGAATCATACCAAAGTAGTACAGGACCCTTTTACAAAATTGTACTGCACACAGTTGCATTGATGTGAATGAGCACCATGGAAAACAATGTGATTTTCATTGTCATGCGACTCTCAAGTCACATCTGAAATCTCCCTGTTGTGAACGGAGCCTAAAGATCCGTAACCAAGGTGGTTCCATGTGATATGTATATTGTATAAGATTGTTTCTTGTCCACTGATTCATCACTCATAACTATATTTTTATACAAAATAACTATCTTGTTAACAACTGTAGCTATTTAACACCTTCCTGCCCAGCCTATATTAAAATGATGGCCAGGCGGGACATTCACCATTCTGGGAGGATATGATATCCTTCTCAGTGCTCCACATGGGCCGCGTTGTGGTGTGATCTGTCACCTAAATCCAAAAAAACTCAAGTGCGCTGCCACTTAAAACTAAAAAATAATAACAAAAGGCTGCAGCAAAGACCAAAAAGTGTTCCCACTGAATAGATAATGATAAAAAAAAAGTGTTGCGCTGCCACACACAGCTAGAAAACTAATAACCAACCAACCATCATGTGATCCCCTACCACATTACTAAATATAATCATTAAATAAATAAATAGTATAAAAATAATGAAATCAATACAATGCAAAAGCCACAAACTATGAATAGATTTTATTCAGAAAAATGGTTGCTTATAACAGTGAAATTCACTGTTATAAGCAACCATAGTGTAAAAAAAGAAATCCTCCCCAGAGTAGTGTATTGCACTGGCCGCAGTGTATAAAACAATTGCAAAAAAATTAATAAAAAAGAAAAAAAATTTAAAAAGTTAAAAAAACATTTTTTTGTAAATACTGTCACCAGTCGGTGTCCCTAATCACCACTACCACCAACACACCACCAGTTATATGATGCTACCCCTCTCTGCCAATCCCTCCACTGGCTCCTGATTGCCCAACGGATAAAATTCAAAATGCTAACATTGACTTATAAAGCTGTTCATATTACTGCCCCAAACTACATCATCGATCTGGTATCCAAATACCACCCAAAACGTACTCTCCGCTCCTCAAAAGACCTCATACTCTCTAGTTCCCTGGTCTCCTCCTCCCATGCCCATCTCCAGGACTTCTCCAGAGCTTCCCCCATCCTGTGGAACTCCCTACCCCAATCTATTAGACTATAACCTACTCTCCTCACCTTTAGGCGCACTCTGAAAACCTACCTCTTCAGGGAAGCCTACCCCGCCCTCAGCTAATTACTGAACTCCTCCACTCTTACTACCACTCCACCCCCCACAGCTATTTCTTCCTGTACCACTATCCCCTCCCTCCTAGATTGTAAGCTCCAAGGAGCAGGGCCCTCGAACCCCTCGTGTATTGAATTGTATTGTTACTGTACTGTCTCGTGTACTGTCTCCCATTATAATGTACAGCGCTGAGCAAACTATTGGCGCTATATAAATCCTGTATAATAATAATAATAATTAATGCTGTACTGCACTGGTGAAAGTATGTAAAAAAAAAAGTTCCAAACATTTGTGTCAAAATAATTACAACTTCAAAAACTTTCCTCAAGAAGTTTGGGCCTCAGGAAATGAGATCAGCTGTCAGTACATCAGGACTGATTGATATTTGGATATATACAGTATATACCATCGTTTGTAGACTCTATACATTCCTACAAGTCAAATGCTAAACACTGATTTGGGTTATTTTCACCATAGAAATATAGTAGTATACATTTTGGCCTAAATTTATGAAAGAAAGATTATTTATTTGCAAAATTTTATAACAGGAACAAAAGAAAACAAGCATTTTTTTTTTCAAAATGTTCAGTCTTTTTTTGTTTATTTAGCAAAAAATAAAAACAAAACTATGGTGATTAAATACCACCAAAAGAAAGCTCTATTTGTGTGAAAAAAAAGATAAAAATTTCATATGGATACAGTGTTGCATGACATGCAATTGTCATTCAAAGTGCGACAGTGCTGGACTGGGCAGGAAGTGGGTGAAAGTGGAACGGACTGTGCATTGGATTCTTCAATAAATCTGAACAAAGGTTTAAAATAGAGAGCAGAACTAAGCTGTTCTAACCACTTCCCACCCGTAGGGCATCATATGACGTCCTCAGGTTGATGTGTTTATATCGGGATGATGCTTGCACCTGCAGGCATCATCCCAGTATCAAAATTTCCAGCTGGCGATTCCTTCTTCAGCAGAAGTGATTTGAGGGGCTGAACAGCCAATCGACTACTTCTGTGGCCAACGCAAGGGAGTCCCTCCCTCCCGCCACCTACTGCTTGGCTACTTACCAGGCTGTTAGTCGAAATCAGAAGTGACAAAATCTTCGTTGCTTCTGGTTTCTGGGGTC